GACTGAGCCTGTATCTAATATATGCTGTAGCCACCATACTCTCAGGCAACAGAAATGAAGGCCCCTAGAAGATACGTGCACAGGTGTCGACAGCAGCTGTATTCCCGACTGAGGCCAGGTAGTGTTCAGTAGGGTAGTCCTGTGAAATCCCTTAGAGGCTGTCACATGGAACTGTGACAGTGAAGCTGGGTTGCAATGAAAACCCCAGAATGTTGGAGATGCTAAGCCATGAGGCACCTGTCAAGAAGAGTTACAGGCAGGGTTTGAAACCATCCCCAGAAGAGAGATGTATGTTGCAGCAGCAAAACCGGAGAAGCTGAGCCATCTAAGCGCTTTAAGACTAAAGTCTTTGGCACTAGACACGGAGCTAGTTTTAACAGGATTTAGTTTTCCTTACTAGGCTTCAACCTTACTTTAGTCCAGCATTTTCTCACTGTACCCCCATTCTTCCCCTTTGGAATGGTAATGCATATTTTGTAGTTGGCATACATATATATGTATATATAATGTAACATTACTTTTTGATTTTGAGATTGTTTTGCATTTCAGAAGAGACTCTGGGTTAACAGTGCTAAATATCAAAAACTTTGGGAAGTTGGATTAAATGTGTTTTGCATCATGATATGGCCATGGGCTTATGGGGACCAGGGGATGGCATGTGGTGGCTTGAATTAAAAATGTTCTGCATAAGCTCAGTCATTTGAATACTTGGTCCCCAGTTGGTGGTGCCACTTGGGGAGGACCACAAAGAGGTGCAGGCTTGCTAGAGTAAATACTCTACTGGAGGCAGGTTCTTGAGAGTTTATGCCCTCACCCGACTTCCTGCTCACTCTCTCTGATTTGTGTGTCTGTCTGTGTGTTTCCTGCTCCTGGGACTATGCCTACTTCTTACTGCTATGCCTTCCTGCCATAATAAACTTTTATCCCTCTGAAACTATAAGCCAAAATAAACTCTTCCATAGATGCCTTGGTCATGGTGTATTATCATGGGAATAGAAAATTAACTAATATAGCACCTTGAATAAAAGTGAGGACATGACCACTCCAAGGTATGGTTGAGGAGATGCGTTTTATTGTAGAATATGAGGGAGAATTTGACCAGTGGCATCTAGAAGGATCCAAGCTCAACAAGGCCATGAGAGGAGGATGGGGTGGGGGGGGCAGAGTGAGAGGAAGAGAAGATATGGTCATTGGACGAAGAGAGGAGCCAAGGGACAGAGAGGCCGAGAGAGCACATGGCCAAAATGGCAGGATATTATAAGAAAGAGAAGCTAAGGGAAGAGAAGCAAAGATGCTCAGCCCCTAGGCTGGAGAGGTTTAGGGTAGGGGGGAAGTGAGAGATGTTGGAGGAGCCACAGGTACTAAGTAAGCCTCACCCTAGTTTGCATATTGATAGGTGGGGGAGTCTTCTTAGACCCAGCTCTGCCAGAGCCACTGGCCAGAGTACTTCCCAAGGTTGTTTTTCTGTTCACCTGGCAGTGGTCCAGGCATGGGCAGGAATGTACAGTCTCAATGCCCACCCCCAGGTAGCACTTGGTCTGGAGGAATTTCTATCCAGCAATCTGGATACCAAGGTCCCAGGAACAAGGACCAGTGAATGGGGACTGGTGACATGAAACTACTGGGGAATTGTCTGTGACTCAGCCTTAGCTTTAATGAGGAAGGGTCTCTAGTCACTGGTATCATTGTCTCTCTTCTGCATGAGACCAGGTAGATTCCCTGACTGGAGGCTACAGGAAGGATCCTGACCAAGAGCTGAACCAATCCCAGAGGGCATGCAGGCAAGTATAGCCCAGCATGGTAATGTCTAGACAAAGAGCTGAGGATGGACCATTCGAGGGATGTACCTAGAACTGATGCCAGTTTTGAAGAAAACATGCCCTAAACCCCTGAAGAACTGCCATGCCACAACCAGACCTCCCCACAGCCCCAAATTCTGGCGAGTTACCATCCACATAGGGGGAAGGGAAGGGAGACAGTATTAGCCAACATTTATATGCTGAGAACTTTAAGCCAAGGTAATGCCCTTCTGACCTAGGTGCACCAACTATGCCCCAGTCATCAGGGCCAGAAGTGGCTTTATGATATAGACCTTCTGTCAAGAGTAGGTTTTGTTAACCTGACACAAGCTAGAGTCATCTATAAAGAGGAAATGTCAACTCAACTGAGGAATTGCCTCTATCAAATTGGCCTGTAGGCAAGTCTGAGGAGCATTTTTGTTGTTAATGATTGATGTGGGAGGACCTAACCCACTGTGGATACTGCTGTCTCAGGACAACTGGACCTGTGTATTATAAGAGAGCAAGCTGAACAAGCCATGGAGAGCTAATCAGTAAGCTGCTTTCCTCAATAGTTCCTACCCTGACTGCCTAGAGTATCAAGGGCCTGGGTCTGTGGTGTGAGACTAAGTACCTACAGGATTCAAAAGTACTGATGAGGGACCTGGACCATCCTCTGCCTACACATAGTGTGGCAAGGAGGCTGGTGATATTCCCTTCCTGATATACACAGGGACAATCCTGAGTGTACCAAACAATATCTGAAGCCCTTTGGAAGTAACCACAGCACAGGCAGATAGGATGCTACAGAGCTGGCTCTTGAACAAGGGTATTTATTGCCCAAGCACTTCCATATTGCTTGCAGAGGTCTGTGACACTGATGGTACCAGTAGAAGATATCATTTGCAAGGTGATAGGGCATGAGAAATTACCTATACCCATGCAGACTATATAGGCTCCAGAGCACTGGTGGACATGAAGGCTAAAGAGGTGGGCCCATAGGACCTTTTACTGGCACAAACTATCATAATGTTGCTCTAGAGCCTCATATTAATTCTTGACCAGAGCCACTTAACAGACAGAGTCTAGAAAGAAGGAGGCTGGATCCCACCAAAAGAGGGAAGGTGAACTCCTACAGTGGTTTGATAATGAGTCTGAGTGGCTGTAGTTCTGTCAGGTAAAAACTAAGTGGCCTACCAGTCAGTGAGGTCTGGGGACATCAATCAGTAGACCACACTTGCTTGTTCTGAAGATCATCTCCTAGGCCCCTTTCCAGTTTCCACGACAGAGTGGGAGATTGAGAGGTATCCCTCCAGATCCTCATAACCCACCCCCTGGGTACTACATGTTGGTGGTTCACTGCAGCATAACTGTGGCAACACCCACTATATCTGAGGCCTGGCTGCTTGATACACTAGCTTCTCCACTGTAAAGTGCTCTTTGTCTCATCAAGAGCAGTCTTCTTTCCCATAATGGATATCAGCACACCTCAAGTTTGCCTTGATGATATCACTCTTCCAAAATTAATGCAACCTGCTGGTCATGCTCACTGGCTTGGTGGGCAAGAAGTTACATGCCTCAGAGGATTTAGTAAAACATACTTCCAAGAGGTGGGACACAGCTCTGAAAAGCTCAGGGTCCCCCCTCCACCAGAGAAGCCTGTTGTGGGTGATCTCATGGCAGTGAGAAATGTCATATTTTATTTAAAGTGAGAGGTAATTGGCAGGCATGGTGGTACACACCTGTAATCTTAATACTAGGGAGGCTGGGACAGGTGAGTCAAGATTTCAAGGCCAGCCTAGGGTCCACAAAGGGATAAAAAACACACTACAGAAGATCATCATATTTCATTCACTTCAAGAGGCACAAGGCCAGAGGGAACTCTGAATTTGGCTGTAGGCATGCACTGTGTATGTATGAACATTACATTCAGACTCATTTCCAGGACAGCAGGTAATACTACTCTGGGAAGAGCTTGGGAGTATACCTAGCCTGCAGCACAAACTTCTGTATGCTGGGCTTCTATGTGCTATGTGAAGAGAAGGAAAATGTGCAGAATGAATTAAGGACATGTGTATCCAGCAGGCCATCTGGTAAGGCACACCAGGACTTGTACTGAAAGAGAGAGGGTTCTCCCAGTGGCCTGAAACAAGGTAGAAATATCAGCCTATTTTGAATATTAAATACACACCCACCCACCCCATCCCCAGACTTACATGTTAAATTTAGTTTCCAGGTAATGGTTCTGTTATGGGAGAATCTAGAAACTTTCGGAGGTAGGGCCTAGTTAAACAAAGCAGGTCAGTGAAGAAGTGTTTAACTTAATTCTATCCTTAATTCTATCCTCACCCTTCTTCCTGTTCCCTTTAACATGAACAGCCTCTCCCTCTACTAGCTATCACCATCATGATATTCTGCCCAAATGCATGGGACTAAGAAACAAGGCACTCCATGTTTACTGTAGCCATGGGTGGCCCAGGAGTCCTCAACTACCATTCAGGCTGATAGTAAACTGGGATACAGAAGATGCTGGCTTAAAAGGGAGGATATAAGTGTTACAGTTACAGGGTTATATTGGCTTTCAAAGGAAGACTTGGGAGGCCAGGTAATGTGTGGCAGGGTTAGGATGGTTTTATTTCAATTTGTCATAAGCTAGAGTAGTTTAAGAAGAAGGAACCTCAATTGAGAAAAATGCCCCAACAAGATTGACCTATGGGTGATCCTTTTTTCTTAATTAGTGATTGATGTAGGAGGGTCCAGACCATGGTGGGTGGTGCCCACCCTTTGGCTGGTGATCCTTGGGTGTGTAAGAACATAGTCTGAGCAAGCTCTTGAGAGTAAGCCAGTAAGCAGCACTTCTCCATGGTCTCTACATGACTTCTTGCCTCCAGGTTTCTGCCTGACTTCCTTCGATGATAGACTGTAGTGTAGAAATACATGAAATAAATGCTTTCCTACCCAAGCTGCTATGCCCATTGTGTTTTATCACATCAATAGAAAGCCTAAGACACCAGCCTAGGAGAAAGGTCATGGGGGCTGTAAATGACAACACCACAGACAGACTGTCTAGCACAGAGCTCATATCACAGTAACACATGCCCCAATGCTGAGAACGGATCTGCAGGATCTAATGTTTATCTTGCTGTGTTTTGGTCTTGCTTCACTTAAATCCTTCCCAGTCATTTATTTTCCTGTTGGAATAGAGATGTTTACTCTGTACAATTGTATTTCAGAAGTACATAACTTTATTTTTTTTGATATTACAGAAGCTCAAGAAACTGAAATTAGACTGTGTGCATGGGGAAGTGGTGGTGGTGGTGGTGGTGGTGGTGGTGGTGTGGTGGTGGTGTGCACCAAGGGTTTCTTACTGAACTTCTTACTGGAACTTACTGGAACTTGCAGTTTCAGGTAGACTGGAAGGCCAGTGAGCCCAGGCCTGTCTCTGTCCCTTCTACCAATACTAGGGCAATAGGCATATATTGCCATGCCCAGCCCTTACATGAGTGCTAGGTATCTGAACACAAGTCCCCGTGTCTGCTTGTACAGCAAGCAGTTTGTCCACTGAGCCATCTTTCCAGTGCCACATTTAAACTTTTGAACAGCTGGGAGTGGGGAGGAAGGTGGGCAAAGGTCACTCCAAGTGGGCCCTGTAAAGTACTGATCCACAAAGGCTGACCCTAAGTCTGAGGTAGAGAAAGACACTTTAAAGGGAAATAGAGGAACAACAAAAGAAGCTGATAGTCAGCTGGCTAGCTAATGGCAGTCTAGCTCATCCTAGTTGACTCCAGTCACCAGTCAGCACAGGCTCACCAGTCACTAGGAGCCAGTGGCCCTCATGAGGCAGGGACATCCAGGTAAGTCACAGGGTCGGAGAAGGGGCCCGGACGGGCCCAGTAGTCCAATGCTCGTACTCGGTAGGAGCCAGAGACCACAGCTGTGTCTGCAGACACAAAAGCACATATTTTCTGAAGTTCTCAAGACTCGGAACCCAACACACATACTGCAATGAGGTCCAGCAGTACAACTGCCAAGACGAGGGTTTTAGACGTACCTGGGCTGAATACAAAGAGATTGAAAGTAGATGGCCTCCTGTGGATTGGGGCATATGCTTCACCCTTCTGAGAAAACTGGATCTCATATGTCCACAGGCACCTGAGGAGGGATGGATTGGTACTGAAGCTGGGGCTAGGTAAACTCTGAAGGCTTGGATGGGTGGTAGAGGGTAGACTCACAACCCTATTCTCTTCAGGTCCTTTGCTAGCACATCTAGAGTCCCTGGGCACTCTCAAAATTGTGACAGAACACAGTGACAGGGTCCTGGAAACTATCACTGTAGGTAATCTCCAACTCAGACACAAGTTGGTCTGTGTAGGTGTGTGTGGTGTGTATAGAACATATGGTACCAGAGAGAGATGTATGATTACAAGGGTGATGACATAGGAAAGGACGACCACCCCACTCACGCACTTGGAACCCACATGCTCATCCGACCAGACCAGAACCAGCTGCCCACGTGTCAGGGGCAGTGCACGGAGCCGGCTGACCTGTGAGAAGGGAGAGGCTGTGAAGGACTGAACTAGCCAGCCTCACAGGTAGGGTGGGAGACTGTCACCTGCCTGCCCCGGTGGCTTCAAAGGGCGCGCGCATACATGCACCAGCAGGAGTGATGGCACCGGAAGCTTCTGGTGTAAGGTTAGGCGGCCCCTAGCAGGAAAGGGGCGTGGTGCCTCCGCCACTGGGTCCTGGAGACAAAGAAGGGCATGTGGTTGGCAAATCTCAGTACCCAAGAAACCCCTCTCCCTCCCTTCCACCCAACCTCCCTCCCTCCCTCCCTTTCTTCCTCCTTCCCTCCCTACTTGCCCACAAACCTCTGCCATGCGCATATTTCGGAACTGCTCTGCAGAGGGGAAGACTGGCTGGCCCATGCGCTGCCACACACTGTAGGGGCTGCTGAGTTGGTTGTCTAAGTAAAGTACTACATAGACAAGCTCTGTGGAGCCAAACACCATGGTTTGCCTCCCTGGGCGCACTACGGCTGGCTTCCCACCTTCTTTCAGAGCCCCACTCACCCAAACCAGGAGGTACCCCACGCAGGTGAAGAGTCACAGGGATACTGTGGTTGGAGTGTATGTGGGTGTCATCGCTAGTATAGATCAGGACTGTGGTGCTCCAGGCCTCTGAGGAGTCTTCAGGCTGATGGGTGCTAGCCAGGACACCCACTGTATGATTGCTGTCCAACACAGCCCCAGCCTTCGAGACCTCTGCCCAGAGTTGCTCTCCATCTACAGGTCAAGCAGAGGGCTGAGGCTATTGGCTTCCTCATACCTAGTACCTGGCTTCCTACCCTAATGCCTGGCTCCCACCATTTTTATACTGGGAGTCTGTTATACTGTTCATCCCACAGAATGAGAGGAGATGAAAAGGCAAAAACTTGGAAAATGAACATAAGAAACTCACTCAGCAGCTGGAGGGAGTATGCTTGTCCCTGCCCAGCATATTCATGTTCCCTTAATCCAGGACATGTCAGGCTAACATGTTTTGTTATGTTTTGTTTTGTTTTGTTTTGTTTTGTTTTGTTTTCACTTTGACTAAGCACAGGCAGAAGCAAGGTCATTACTCACCCAACAGGGCCATCAGCCCCATGACTGTGAGTACTGGCTTTCGCAGCAACTGCACGTGGGGTGGGTGAGTGTTGTTGACCTGGAAGCGAGCAGTAAGTGTACGCTGGGAGAAAGGGTACGGATGGTAGCTCAGGAAGGCATTGTCATTGCTGAGGAGCACGTAGCGCATGGAGGAACTGCTATTGGCAAACAGCAGGTTCTGGTGCTGTGCAATGACCTGTGGACATGAGGGCAGTTGGGACCTGTACCACTGGCCACTAGTACTGTCCCCACCTCCACTAAGGAAGACTTCCTGAGGTTGAAGAAGGACCCACCTTCACCACCAGGGCTGCATAAGTCACATCAGCTCTCCAAGGTTGTGGCAGGGACCAGCCCACCAGAGGGTCTGCCTCATCATTGTAAATAGGGGTGTCCTTGAACTCAGGGAAGAGCTGCTGGATCTGCTCCACAACTGCCATCTCCTGCTCCAAGATGAAGATGGAACTGCCTGCACCCTGCAGCAGCCACACACTTCATTTAGTACAGGCTCATCTCAAAGGAGGTGTGGAGGGGAGGGGTGGAGGCACCACATACCTTCTTGTGCAGGGAGATGTAATCCAGACGCACGCCCACCTCACCAGTGAAGAAGTTGGTTCCATTGGCACAGTGACCCAGGAGGCTCCAGCACATTGGTGACCTTGGCAGGGGGTGGAAGGAATCCCCAGGACCACCCAGCTTCAAAGTGGGGCTGGCAATACGTAGCCCCTCAGAGCAGGCATCATAGTAATTCAGGAAGCCTAGGGCAGGAGGGTCTTGAGGGTCTGGGATTGTTCTGCTTCCCTCTCATACAGCCCACCCAACATGGCCTGGAAAAATGCTGCCTACCTTGTGTGGTCATGGACACGTTGTCAAAGTCATGGTGGTCTGGTTCATTCCAAGTCTCAAAGTTCCACTTGGAAACATGTGTCAGCCCATACCTACCTGCAGAGGGAGCTCTACCCTCAGGTTTGGGGATGGAGCCTACCTGGTATCTCCTAGGGACTGGGATCCATGAATGGGGTTCCACTTAAATGGGATTATCTGGCTCCAAACAAGTACCCTACCCCCAGCCCCATCAGGCTTCTCAGGCTGTGGAATAGTGATGTGTATGGCAGAGAAGACCACGAGGTGCCTGGGTGATCAAGGAGGAGAACCTCTCCAGGACTACCCACTACAGCCCCCCAGGATTTCCCCTTCTATTCACCAATGTATCTCCTGGCCAAGAGAGCAACCAGGTCCATCCATTCAAACACCTGCTGCTTGTCCTCAAAGTCCGTGAAGTACCCAGAAGGGCTGCCCATTAGCTCAAATCCTGAAACACACAGGGGTAGTTGTCCCACTGTCCATCATACCCAACACCTCAGTTAGTGCTGAGATACCACCACCCACCAGGACACAGAGTGGCAGGTGGTGGGAGAAAGCAGGGCCATTGCTCACCAGGGAGAAGCTGGTTCTCCATGAGGAGGTCCAGAAATGCATCCAAGTGAGTGAAGTTGTAGATCAGTCCCTGCTCAGATGACTTCCTGCTGGAGATGGGGGGGGGGGCAACCGGGGGAGGAGGGGGGTGACGGGGGGGGGGGTCAGTACTGGAGAGTAGCAGCATTTCTCCACAATCTGGTTTAGAACTAGGGCCACACTCAAGCATGTGGTTGCCTCAGGCTTCCAGATGGGCTTTCCCTTTGGAAAAGACTAGCAGTGTGAAAGTCTGTCACATCTGAGTATGTATGAGTATGTGTGTATAGAACCCTACACTAAGCCTTAAAGACCCTGAAAACCTGGGAAAACTATGGAGGCTTCTATCACTCATCATGGAATTCGAATGTGTGTGCATGAAACCTTCAAGATATTCAATTAGGGCTCGGGTCAGTCACCCCCCTGAGGTGGAAAGACTTAAGAAAGGTTTCAAGACATCTTAAAGACATTTGACAAAGCAAGCCACAACATTCTGAAAAGGTCCTGGTAGTGGCTAATTGAGGTGAAAGCAAGAGATTGCAGTGGGCATGAAGGAAGAGATGCCAGGATACTATCAACTGCCAGATCTGAGGTGAGTTGTAGGCAATGTCCAGGGCAATTGTATGGATTTCAGGACACTGATGCTTGGAGCTCTGTCTCTGGCTTACAACTCTGGGAAAGCAGTGAAGAGCCACCCTGAGGGCTAAATCTGCAGCTGAGGTAACTTGAAGGCACCAGCCAACAGGTACGAAGGGTCAGTCCTGTCAGGGTCTGAGAGCTTGCTGAAGACAAGTTGTCCTAGAAGACGTGTAAGACAGCTCATGGGTTTGTCTGGAGAGGGATGGTGGGTCAGAATCTCCACTGTGGGTGGTAGAACCACCTCTACAAGAAGCAGCAGCTCCTAGGCACAGCAACCCCTCACTGTACATGGTCAATTAGCTACTGCCCCCAAATCCAGCCTGACATCTGTGCTTTTGGATCAGAGCCTCTGCCTAGAGCTACAAACAGACTTGCTCAGCTCTTTCCCACCCAATGATCAAAATCAGTTGCTAATAAATAAAACCTAACAAGCATTTGGATAAAGATTAAATCCTTGTTCCAAAGTCCCAAGTCGTTGGGGGCAAAAACTGTCATCAGCTCCCTGTCTTCACAAAGCAAGCAGAGTACACACTTGAAGGGAGCAGGCCTCAGGAACAGGGCTACGTTCTGGGCTGTCTTTCAAATCAGAGATATTCCAAGACTGTGTGACCCAGTATGGGCCTGGGTGTCTACTTGACACCCCTCACCCCCCAGCTCCTACCCCCACCCAACCCTCATCCCTACCCTGTCAGCCTCCTGATACCTCCCGGGCCTTCCATACCCAGGAAATCTAGGGAGCAGTCCTTTGACCCTCTCTGCCTCCTTGAAGGGAGGGTGGTGGTGTTAAAGAGTCCTAAAGTGGGAGGGGCGGGTCACTGAGGCGACGTGTAGGGAAGTCTGCCATCCCCTGCAGAGGCCTGAGCCATAGCCCAGCTGGGGAAGGCAATTCTCTGTACAGCCAGATTAGGCGCAGCCCCAGCAAGGAAGCACAAGGGCCCTTTCACAAGAGCCCCCGGCAACTCCCAGGCCTCCTGCTAGAGGCGGAGCGCGTGCTTGCGCTTAGAGGGTGAGGCCACTGCGGCTGGTGAGTGCCTGGGTGAGCGCATGAAGGATGAGGGGGGAACCTGAGCTGGCGGGGAGGTGGAATGCTCCGGCTCCCGCGGAGGAGTGCAGCAGTAGCCGTGCACTCGGCACGCTTGAGAGGGCCGAGGCAGACAAGAGAACGCGGTCTGCAGACGCCTGACTATGTGGAATGCCAAGCGGGATGGGGGGAGTGCGGGTAGTTCGGAAACACACGGTGTCTCTCAGGAGAACCTGCTGAAGCCCCAGGAAGGCACAGAAATTCTGGTACGGTCCTAAAGCCTGTCCGCCTCACCATTTTCCACTGTTGGACAGAGTATGATGTTTTCTTCCCAAATAATTCAGTATTTAAATGGTGGACTTAGAGATAAAAGAAAAAAATTACTGAGCTGCATAGGAACAAACAGATCTACGGACCTCATACCCCTACCTTTTGTGTGTCCAGCAGCAAGCCAAGGTGCTGGCAGCTCAATGAGCACATTGGGGAGGGACAGTGGACCTGGTCATACCCATTGCAGCACCACCCTGAGTGCATGCAGCTGTAGAGGCAGAGGGAAGAGTAGAGCAGTGGACTCTTGGTAAATCATGGAAGACATGACTTCATCTGCATTTCAATTTGCTGTGGACACCTACCAGGAAAGGCCCAATCCCTCCCACCCAGGGTGGTGGAGAGGGAGGGACCATCCCTATACTGTTTTCTCTCTGTGTTTACAGGGCATCATTCCACAACTTCAGCCCTGCCATTTTCAAAGATGTAACAACAGTACATTTCCCAGAGGCCCCTATGTGGGTAACTGGGTAGGTTATCATTATATGACACCCCCAATAGTTATCCCCAGACCACTAGAGGAGCCTCTTATCTGATACAAGAGATGCTCTGACTAACCCCACCACACCCACTGGGTAACTGCTCCTATAAGCCACCGTTACCAACTGCTGTGCAAACAGTGTCTCAAAGTTTGTTGTAAGGGAAAGAGGAAGTCCAGCTCTACAAAGGTGGGACAGAACAAGTTAAAACCCTAGGGCCCTAAATAGGTTCCAGGAACAGGAGACCTTCTTGGAGAGATAGGGCAGCATCCATGTGGGGCAGCTGAGAGCAAAGGTGGGGGAATCCCTAGATCACAGAGGGTCCAGCCTAGTCTCAGTCAGGCTTCCCACTCTGACCACTCCACACACATTCCATTGCCATCTTGCCAATAAGCAGGACTGTGGCCAGGCCCATGGCTGTCAGGAACTGGACCTGTCAATGTCCCAAAGAAGTATCCAACGGGTGAACTGGAAGGGACTCTGAGTTCTTATTGTCCCCTGATCTGGAGGAATGAAGTCTCAGGGTCCCAGGTGGTTCTGTAAGACAACTGTTGCTCCTAAGCCCTTTCTCAAGACCCTTGGGGATAAGAGGAGTAAAACATAGCTTCCTTTGCTCAATCCCAAGGCAAACTGCTCACTGTGCTGGGGTCTGTGGAGACAGCAGACCAGACTAGCCAGCCTTCTAGCCATAATGAAAAGAACTACCTCCAGCATGGGAGAGCACCCAGAATACATGAGCCTACAGAAGACAGCAAGACTGTTAGACATTCTTAAGCACAATATGAGAAACTTGTTGCTCATTTCAAGACGTGGATCTGAGGGTTCTGACCAGCCTTACAGAATTTGAGAGCACTGATTACTTATGCTAATGTCAAAGGGCCATTTATCTCTAGGCTATCCTTACAAGGCAAGTCTCTTATCCTACAGAGGTATGTGGGGGCCAAGTACCTCACCAGGATTACAGGGGGTCAGTACCAGGGAGGATGAAACTGAGGCCAATCTAGAATCCCTGCCTCCAAGGGGAAAACACAACTATTTTGATGCTGACAAGCTGTGCACAACACAGGTATGTGTTCACTCACAAGTGTGTACACATACAACAGTAGCCATGTGAATGCACTGCACTCAGGAACACGGAACAGAGACTGTGCTTTCAGCTTGCTCCAGCCAGAACAGTCTCCATGAAGATGAAAAGAAGATAATCAGCATCTGGGTAGGTGTAGTCAGCTGTATTTAAATCCAGAATCTCATAGCTAAAGTGATTTCACTCAGCTCCTCTGGGGCCTCACACTTACGTATCCTGCCTCAGCCACTCCTGTCTCCACCTCCTCTTCCTCATAACAAGACAGAATCTGCTGCACCTGGAGCACCCACCCCTCTGTAGAGGGGAGTTTATCAGAGGCCCACACAACCGTAATTACTTGTTAGCCTCTGATTATAGTACAACTTGCTGGATTAGATCACCAGATTAGCTGCTCAGGTAACATTCATTTGACTAAGGAAACCCATGACTCAGCTATCTTTTGGGTAAATAATTTAACAGTGAGCCCAGCAGAGTATTCTCCACAAGTCAGCCTCAGAGGTGCCTGCCAACCTGCTCTCTGTCTGTTAAGAGAAGCCAGAGTGATTGGAGGATCAGCCCACCAGCAAGCTACAGCCCCTGGATATTGCAAAGCCTACGGAGCCAGCCAGGTGCCCCAGGTAAGAACTGTCCCTTGTATCCATACAACAAGGCCCAGAAAAGGTGGCTTAATGGGCAGAAATAGGAACCTAGACTGCCATTTCTCTGGAGATTGCTCAGATACAAGGCAAGTGATACTTACAGTCCTTCCTCCACACATTTTAGTCCCTAGACACTTGGGGTAGGCCTCCGGGTGTTCAATGATCCTTATGTATCATTGTTTTCATAATGTTCCTCAAGAGCTAGGATGCTTGCTGGACAACCACCCTAGCTAGGAAGCTGTTACCCAGGCCAGGCACAACTGGCTCTAACAGTCACCACCGTGTCCTGGGTTGCAAGAGAACAGAGAGTGTTTGATTAATATTACAAACAAGCACTTTGGAACCTGTAAACAAGACCAAGGCCACCACGTGGTCAGCACAGCCTGAGAATTCTTCAGTACCAAGGCAAGGTCAGAAAGGGCTAGGTCAGCCAGGCCAAAGGTAGACATCTGTGAAGCAGTGTGCTTGTTCGATGTACTTGAGCCTCTGAGAAGAGACTCAGCGCTTGGAGTAATGGGCACACTGGTTTCAGAGCACACTGGTGAGGCATACTCTAAACTCATGAAGAAGGGCTATCACAGACCATGGCCCCCAGCACACACAATGTACAAGGTCTTCTGTCAACCACCAGGCCTATGGTGTTCACAGGAGAACAGGTGATGGCTTGGGAGAGCTCATGTAGAAGTGGGGTGATTGGCAGAGGCCATTGCCAGACCAGGTGGGCTGGAGTTCAAGTTCAAAATGCATCTGCCTCTTGTCACTGTGGGTGGGGCGTAGGTGGCTTGGGCACACATGGACTGGTGCCTCTTGTTACTGTGGCTTGGGCATAGGTGGGCTGGTGGAGGACTTGGGCATACATGTGCTGGTGGGGGGGCCTGGTCTAGCCTTGTCTTGGGTAGGTGGCCCTCAGGATGCTTTAGACAGCAGACTTCACATAGGGGCTGAATTCAGTAGTCCACAGAGCACTGCTGGGGATGAAGCTAGGTAACCTGGATCCCTGAAGCATGCTGCTATCATAAGCACCTCTCAGTATAAAACTAGCATCTTGGAGCTCAAGGTTTTCTATTCATCCACACAGAAGTACAACCTCTTGTCAGAAGGACAAGCTCTGATATCAGATGTGTGACGTCTGTTTTTGGGTGGATAAAAACTCACTGTGAAGCTGGATCCCGGGCTCTGAGAGCCTAGACCCCCTAACCATGCCCATTTCCCCTTGCAGGTTAGCCAAAGAGCCTGGTGTGACAGGATGGATGCTTCTCCTGAGCCCCAAGAGAAGGGTGGGACGCTGGTGCTGGTCCGACGGCAGCCCCCTGTGTCCCAGGGCTTGCTGGAAACACTGAAGGCCAGGCTGAAGAAGAGCTGCACCTGCAGTATGTCATGTGCTCAGGCTCTGGTGCAGGGTCTGTTTCCTGTCATACACTGGCTGCCCCAGTACCACCTTAAAGAATACCTGGCAGGTGATGTTATGTCTGGATTGGTCATTGGCATTATCCTGGTGCCACAGGCCATAGCCTACTCACTGCTGGCTGGGTTGCAGCCCATCTACAGTCTCTACACTTCCTTCTTTGCCAACCTTATCTACTTCCTCATGGGCACCTCACACCATGTTAATGTGGGTATCTTCAGCCTGCTGTGCCTCATGGTGGGTCAGGTGGTGGACCGAGAACTCCAGCTGGCTGGATTTGACCCCTCACAGGATTCTCTAGGGCCCAGGAACAATGACAGCACCCTCCACAACTCAACTACAACACTAACCACTGTGCTACAGGACTGCGGACGGGACTGCTATGCCATTGGTATTGCCACTGCCCTCACTCTGATGGCCGGGCTTTATCAGGTAAGGAGTTAGCTACACAGCAATCAGGCTGGCTGGCTCCGTTTCTTAGAACACCTGAAGGTGCTTACCACTCACTACCAGAAAAGCCCGGAAGCATGTAGAGAAAGTATTCTTTAGGCTAAGAGAGAAAACAGCACAGCAAAGGCAGAGGGGGAGCACAGGCCTAGGTACCAGAGGGGCTGAAGGCACAGAATGGAGGGATATGTGGGGCTGGCCTGGCCAGCTGTGGTCTGAGTAGAGCATTGGGCCAAATGTTCATGGCTCAGGTGCATGACTAGACTGCAACTCTGATGTCCACTTTGGCTTACTGACCCAGGCAGGACCTGGGAGTAGAGATGTATTCATTTCACTGGCCTTCCCACACCTTGCTCTTTTCTGTTTACCCTGACTTCTCTGTTCCTCCTATCCCTCTATTCTGTGGCTTCCCGGGAGGGAGTTGGGTGGAAGGAGCTACACATAAGACACAGGGGAAGGGCCTGCCTCCTGATGCCTACAGCCCTGATTCTGAAACAAAACCAATTTCTGCATGTGCAAGAGCATGAGAAGTGAGCATCCACATGCAACATCCATAGAACAGAGCACAGCTCATTCCTGTCCTAGCCCGTGATATATGTGGAAAACAGTAGGAGTCCATCCAGTGGAATAAGCAAATGTGGATACCAGGCTCTGTGCTGAGACCCCCACCCCTTAGTTTATATTGATGGTGGCTCCTGCCTCAGTCTACCAAACTGACTGTACTTCTTCTACAGGTCCTCATGGGTATCCTCCAGCTGGGCTTTGTGTCAACCTATCTCTCACAACCACTGCTTGATGGCTTTGCTATGGGAGCTTCTGTGACCATCCTGACTTCTCAGGCTAAACACCTGCTGGGTGTGAGGATCCCTCGGCACCAGGGCCTAGGCATGGTGGTCCACACATGGCTAAGCTTGCTGCAGAATGTGGGGCAGGCCAATATATGTGATGTGGTCACCAGTGCCTTGTGCCTAGGAACGCTGCTGGCAGCTAAGGAACTCTCAGATCGCTATCGACACCGTCTGAAGGTGCCAGTACCCACAGAGCTATTAGTTATTGTGGTGGCCACAATCGTGTCCCATTTTGGACAGCTCCATGCACGGTTTGGCTCGGGTGTGGCTGGCAACATTCCCACTGGTTTTGTGGCCCCACAGGTACCAGATCCTAAGATAATGTGGCGTGTGGCCCTCGATGCCATGTCGCTGGCCCTTGTGGGCTCAGCCTTCTCCATCTCCTTGGCAGAAATGTTTGCCCGTAGTCATGGCTACTCTGTCCGTGCCAATCAAGAGCTGCTAGCAGTGGGCTGCTGCAATGTGCTCCCTGCCTTCTTCCACTGTTTTGCCACAAGTGCTGCTCTGTCCAAAACTCTGGTGAAGACAGCCACTGGCTGCCAGACCCAGTTGTCCAGTGTGGTCAGTGCTGCTGTGGTGTTGCTGGTGCTGCTGGTGCTGGCTCCACTGTTTCATGATCTGCAGCGGTGCGTGTTAGCCTGTATCATTGTTGTCAGCCTGCGGGGGGCACTACGAAAGGTGAAAGATCTCCCACAACTTTGGCGGCTTAGCCCTGCTGATGCGTTGGTCTGGGTGGCTACTGCAGCTACCTGTGTGCTAGTCAGCACCGAGGCTGGACTATTAGCTGGAGTGTTTTTCTCACTGCTCAGCCTGGTAGGCCGCACACAGCGTCCACGGGCTGCCCTTCTTGCTCAGATCGGAGACTCGACCTTCTATGAGGATGCTGCTGAATTTGAGGGCCTCCTGCCCCCACCCGAGGTGCGAGTGTTCCGTTTCACAGGTCCACTCTACTATGCCAATAAGGACTTCTTCCTTCGGTCTCTCTACAGACTCACAGGGTTGGACGCAGGGCACTCAGCCACCAAGAAGGATCAGGGCCTGGAGGTGGGTGTCAGTAACAGAAGTCTTGCCGATAATGGCAAGGATCTGGGTTCAGTGAGCAGTGGGGCTGGGCTGGTGGTACCTCTGGCATTTGGTTTCCACACAGTGGTCATTGACTGTGCACCACTGCTGTTCCTGGATGTGGCTGGCATGACCACATTGAAGGACCTGCACAGAGACTACAAAGCCCTGGACATCACCCTGCTTCTGGCTTGCTGCAGTCCCTCAGTAAGAGACACACTGAGAAAAGGGGGCTTCCTTGGGGAAGACCAGGGGGCTGAAGATGAGCTGCTGTTCCCCAGTGTACACAGTGCTGTGGAGGCTGCACGTGCCCGCCGTGAGGAGCTGATGGCTGCTGACTCTGCCTTCTAGCGGGGCCCACTTCCTTAAGAGCCAAGACCTGTGTCCATAAACCAGTACTGAGCTCCTTTGTAGGAATGCTATGAATGATGAAGTCATTAGAGATAAATCCTTGGACCACCTTTGCCCTGGAGAAGCCAGGAAACTCCAACTAGGAAAGGAAGGTGCAGCACCCTTAACACATTCAAGGATTCCAAACATTCAGTGATTGAGACTCTCTACCTCTGAGTCCACTGCTGCCCCTGGTGCTTTTTCAACCCGGGTAGCTGTAACCACACACACAGTGCCCAGTTTAATATTCTGTTTTACCATCTTATCTGAGAGTCCTGCAAATTATATGACCTCCAAGATGCCAAAAGGACACTTTCCCATTCCCTGAACCACCAGGTATCAGATATGAGCTGGATATGTGGCCAAGCCTCAAGAGTCTGAATTTCTGAAAGGCCTCCTCATGCCTGGTGCTCATCTTGATTGGACCCTTGCAAAGGCAGCCACCTGCTCCAGAACCATAGTCCAGTGTCACTGTCTAAGGCAGTGTGACTGATATAACCTCAGCTGACCTTCAGGCACAATGTCTCTATACAGCTTATATTGGTAACCATGATGTGGCACACATATGGTACACAGCCAGGCACAGGAGACACTAAAACCATTCTGTACTTCTAAGAAAACCTCAGGAGGAAACTACCTGTGCTCCTTCCAGGGTCTGCCTTTGGCATAGCCAAGCAAACATTTCCCTCCTCTTCTGCCCAACAGGATGCTCTAATAGGAAGCACAGCCCCAGCCCTGTGCCCTACCATGATTCTCCCCCACCCACAGCCCAGCACTGTATCCCGCAGCTGGCCCCAACAAGGTCAGACCCACCACCTTACCATCTCTGTAAAACAAGCTCTGACCAGCAGCTCCCAGGGTACCCACTTCAGCATCACCCACCTGGCTGTAATGAGGTTCAGAAGCCAGTGTATCCGGACCTGCTCAATGCCACTGTGAGGTACAGCACCTATGTAGGCAAGGTTCAGTTGCTGGTCCCAACTAAGGTCGTACTGGTCAGCCTGGTCGTGAGGCAGTGGGGGGCTAGGGATAGGACAAAGAAGTGAAGTGTTTGTCCTAAACAGGGGCCTGCAGCATACCAGACTTTACACATGTATCACCTGACTGCCTAGACCCTTGTGAATGAACTTTGTGTCTCCAGAGTATATGATAAAGTAGCCCGTTCACCAGAATGTTCTAGAGTCTTGTTTGGGGCAGGGGGTGGGGGTGGGGGAGTGGGGGAGAAGGGCTCCCACAGGACAAAGTACCATATTCTAAATAGGGCATCTGTCTGCCATAGAAAAGGATCTGAGCATTTCTATAGAGCCTTGGGACACACTCAGAAACTGGGACAGGTCTTCATACTTTGGGAGACATCTAGGCACTGCCAAAGCACCAATTGTGAACCTATAGCCCTCTTCTGCTGCCCTTTTGATCCCTGGGGGCCACTTAGGGAGGTTCTGGCACTCGAGGGACCAGTTTTCTAAGGTAGAAATCCCTCACCACACTCCAGAAACTGACTAGCCAGAGAAGGTGGGCCCTAAAGGAGTTTAATCTTCTGAGTGTCCAGAAATGATGGGCAGAGAGCTCCAAGCTGTGATGGGGGGAACCCAGAGGACAGAGCAGGGGGCATTCCTGGACTTGACAAGAGCTGTGGTGGGCCTCACCAGAAGCCGGTGCTCCTCCAGAAGGGCAGCAGAGGCCTCAGCGGGCGGGCTGCGTCCACACGCACCAGGTACGGTGTCTCAGCCAGCGCCAAGGGCGAGGCCAAGAACGCAGCAAAAAATGTCAGCATAGCAAAGGCGGGATGCAGGAGGCGCATGGCTAGGATGTCCAGGCGCCCCCCGAACAGCAAGCTTTTAGGCGGCGGTCCCAGTGTTCCACCTCCGGGTAACGTCCCACGTGACCCTCGCCAGACCCGAACAAAAAGGAACCCAGTCACGCGCCGCCTCTTCCTGGCGAGCTGCTGTCTCAGCCTCTCTGGAGGCCTGTACGTGCTCTGAAAAACAAATCAGGCACTACTGAGTGTCATTAGGGGTGGAAGTGGAGAACTGTATCAGAAGATGGCGCTGCGGGATTGCTCCAAGGATTGGATTTGGGGAGAAGTCAAGATGCTTTGGCAGAGCAGATCTATGACTTTTCCGAAAGGGGGCTGCTCTCATTCTGGGACGAATGAGAGGCTCCAGAACCCAAGTGGCCCCTTGTAGTGGACAACCAAAGGTCAGTTCTGAATATCTGTGAAAGGCAGGTTCAGTAGTCCAACTCTTTAAGATTTGAATTGTGCACACACAATGAGTAGGATATTAGCAAGGATGGAACAGAATTAACTGGCAGTCTTGACAGCACATGCCTATAACCTCTGGAGTTCCAAACAATCGAGTTTCACAACCCATGAAAAGCCCCTTTCTTATGCAAATCTCCCCTGACACCAAGGAAGGAACCCTTCCCTGGTGTTGTAAGTTCCTTGATAGGTTGATAGGTTGGTGATTTTAAATCTTAGGTCCTCAGGATAGCTGGTAAAAGGAAGGTTTCTAGGTGGAGAAATGAAAGCTATGCCACAACCTCATGCAAGGATCAGAAAATCAGGAGCCCATGTGACATTTCTGCAGTGACTGAAATACAAAGTTCATTGTCCATAGACAGCAGCTAGATGTAGACAGGGTCTCAATATGTAGTCCTGACTGACTTAGGACTTGCTGTATAGACCAGGGTAGCCTAAAACTCACAGACATCTTCATGTCTCTGCTTCCTGAGTGTTGAGATTAAAGGCATGGGCTACCATCATCATCCTCTTCCTCCTCCTCATCATGATGTTTGTTTTGTTTTGTTTTGTTTTGTTTTTCCCTTCCCTTGTCACTCTTGCTCTGGCCCCACTCACTCTGGCCCAAAGGTTTTTTTTATTATATATAAGTATGCTGTAGCTGTCTTCAGACATCCCATAAGAGGGCATCAGATCTCATTACAGATGGTTGTGAGCCATCATGTGGTTCCTGGGATTTCAACTCAGGACCTCCAGAAGAGCAGTCAGTGCTCTTAACCACTGAACCATCTCTCCATCCATTGTTTTTTGTTTGTTTGTTTGTTTGTTTGTTTGTTTGTTTTGAAACAAGGTTTATCTATGTAGTCCAGGCTGTCCTGGAACTCAGTCTCTAGGCCAAGCTGGCCTCAAACTCAGAGCTCCTGCCTCTGCCAAGTGCTGGAGTTAAAGGCATGTGCC